AACGCAGCTTTCTGTGCTTTACAGAAAGTAAGTGAGGCCTGTCTGGCTGTTTTTTTTTGTGGACACCTACCTGTGTGTTAACCGTGCCAAATGTGTAACAATTAGGTCAACAGACATCCAGCTAGCACACTGCATAGGTGGGAGAGTGTGCTTAAAGATCCACTGTGGGACTGTGGGTCCTGGTATGATGGCTGGATGGCTAAATTCTTGCCTTGTAAGCACTGGGATCCCATATGGGTACTGGTTCAAGTCCCAACAGTATCACTTCAGGTCCAGTTCCCTGTTTATATGCCTGGGAAAGCAGTGGAGGATGGCCCAAGTCCTTGCACCCCTGCACCCACAGAGGAGACCAGAAAGAAGTTCCTGGAACCTAGTTTCAGACCACTTCAGTTGTGGCCTTTGCAGCCATTTGGGGAGTGAACTAGCAGGTGGAAGATTTATCTCTCTTTGTAAATCTGCCTTTTAAATAAATTTTTTTTTTAAGTTGAGCAAGATGCCTGGCCCAATGATAAGAATTTTAAAAAGAAGTAAAACTAAAATGAAATAATAAGAAATTAGAAAAAGAAACATACTAAAAAATAAAAGAATTGAGTTCCTGGCTCGATCAGCTTGGGCAGTTGCAGGCGTGTCGGGGAGAGAACCAGTGAAGATAAATCACTTTGTGCTTGTTGTCTATGCCTTTCAATAAGTAAATACATAAACAATTCAGAATAGCTTTGGTAAAATAGCTAGATGCGATCTACCTTTGAGCCTTTTTAAAGAGATTGGTTGATGGATTTGAAAAGCAGAAAGGCAGAATAACAGAGGGAGATTTTCCACCTGCTGATTCACTCCCTAAATGGCCTCATTGGCAGAGCTAGCCCGGGCTGAAGCTAGGAGCCTGGGACTCCATCCAGTTCTTCCACATGGGGGACAGGGCCCAGGCACGTAAGCCATCTTCTGCTGCCTCCCCAGGGATATTAGCAGGGAAGCAGATTGGAAGTGGAACAGGTGAGCTCCAAACCTGCACCCACAGGGAAGGTTCGCCTTGCAGGAAGCCCGCTGCATCATACCAGATCCCAGATGTAACCTTCAAATTATATGGGATTATGGCACTTTCAAACATTTTTATTTGGAAGAAATATTTATTTATTTTTATTGGAAGGAAAGATTGGATGCTGGCACTGCAAGGTGGAGAATTAGCCAGGTAAGCTATCATGCCAGCCTCCAGCTTTTTGTTTCAATGTTAGATGTACAGGAATGGTAGACATCGAAATAAATAATTCTTGCCTGTCCAAGAATTTTTGAAGTTTTCCATTCCGTCTTAGGATGCATGCTGGAAGGGAACTTATGGTAGCAGAAGGGAACGCCTTAGATCCCATGAAGAATGTTCTTAGGGAGGGGCTAGTGAAGAAGGAGGGGGTGGAGAGTAAGCAATGACCTTCGGGAACCAGGATATGACCTTTCACCCTTGCAAATAGATTAAACATGGAATGAAACAACTGCCCGGAGAAAGTCCGTCGGCGTGGATCCCTCGGTGTGGATCGTGCCTGCGCGCCTGGAAATCCGAGGGACGCCAGGTCCTCCTGCTCTCCTGCAGACCCCGCGGAGCCTGCGCGAGGGCAGCTGCTGCGCTCCACACGCACTCGCCCGCACCTGAGGAGACTTCGGTCTTTTTATCTCCTTCCCTCTGCTGGCGCAGCTGTGTGGGTCCCTCCTGACCCTGCCTTGCTGCTGATCCCTAACAGCTTAGGGAGCCATGCTAGGCTGGCGTCCTGGAGGAGGTGGAGTGCTGATGAACAAAGAGGAAGAAAGTTTCCCGCGATCGCTGAGCCCCACAGCCTCAATCAGGATCAACTGGCTCAGGAGTGCAATTGGAGCCCGATTTTACGTGCCTTGGACTGGACTTTACGGGGCTTTTTTTAAAAAGGAGACTTAAAAAAAAAATTTTTTTTAAGAAAAATTTTAAACCACTAGTTTACCGAAAAGTCTTTAAGAAGAGCAGAGTGGCAGAGCGCATTACCCCTAAGCGCAGCAAGGTGAACTTACCGACTCTCCAGCTTGCATCTGCACCTCCCCGAAGTAGCATATTCTGTGCTGTATGGATTCACTGAACCTTAAGAACTGGTGAGCTGAGAAGTTTCAGTAACTTTCTATTTGCTCTTTTCTCTCTTTCAATTATTGTTTTTATTGGGAAGGTGGATGTCATAGAGAGGAGAGACAGAGATTTTCCATCCACTGGTTCACTCCTCAATGTGACAGTCAGAGCTGAGCCAATCTGATACCAGGAGCTTCTCTGGGGTCTCAAGCGGTTGCAGGGTCCCAAGGCTTTGGGCCGTCCTCGACTGCTTTCCCAGGGAAAAACAGGAAGCTGGATGGGAAGTGGAGCAGCTGGGATACAAACCAGTGCCCATGTGGGATCCCAGCGCGTGCAAGGCGAGGACTATTAGCAACGAGCCTACCGCACCTGGCCTTCCTTCCTTTCTTCTGTTTTTTTTTTTTTTAATTTTTTTTAAGATTTATTTATTTATTGGAAAGTCAGATATACAGACAGGAGGAGAGACAGAGAGGAAGATCTTCCATCCGATGATTCACTCCCCAAGTGAACGCAACGGCCGATGCTATGCCAATCCGAAGCTAGGAGCCAGGAACTTCTTCCGGGTATCCCAGGCGGGTGCAGGGTCCCAAGGCTTTGGGCCGTCCTCCACTGCTTTCCCATGCCACAGGCAGGGAGTTGGATGGGAAGTGGAGCTGCTGGGATTAGAACCGGCGGCCATATGGGATCCCAGCGCGTTCAAGGTGAGGGCTTAGCCACTAGGCCACGCTGCCGGGCCCTTCTTCTGTTTTTTTTTTTTTTTAATAAAAATAGATTTATTGCATTCAACAGTCAGAATTAGAGAGGGAGACACAAATCTTCCATTTGCTAGTTCACTCCCCCGCCAAAGACAGCAACCAGCCAGAGCTGAGCTGATTAGAAGTCAGGAATCAGGAGCTTCTTCCGGGTGGCCCACGTGGGCTTAATGGCTCAAGGGCCTTGGGCTAGCTGCTGCCTTCCCTGGTCTTTAGCAGAGAGCTGAGTCAGTCGTAGAGCAGCTGGGGCACAAACCCGCACTGGCCACTCATATTGGATGTCAGTGCCTCAGGCTCAGGATTCGCTAGCTGTGCCACCAGGTAGATCCACTGTTGCTCCTTCCAGAATGGGGCTGTCAACTAGGCATTGAGTCATGTGGTCTCATCAGCTACTCTTAACATTTTGATTTAGAGCAACTGTAGCTAAGAACTAGATTAGTTGTGTTTCAGCAAAATGTACCTTGGATACGGAGGGTTGTTTTTTTTTTTTTTAGAAATTTTATTTCCTTTTTATCGGAATGTCAGATTTACAGAGAGGAGAGACAGAAAGATCTTCTGTTTGCTGATTCACTCTCTAAGTGGTCACAATGGGGCTGAGCTGATCTGAAGCCAGAAGCCAGGAGCCTCCTCTGGGTCTCCCACATAGGTACAGGGTCCCAAAGCTTTGGGCCGTCCTTGACTGCTTTCCCAGGCCACAGGCAGGGAGCTGGATGGGAAGTGGGGCTGCTGTGATATGAACCGGCACTCATATAGGATCCCAGAGCATGCAAGGCGAGGACTTCAGCCACTATGCCAGGCCCAGATGCTGAAGTTTTAAATACTATAGTTTTTCAGATGAAACAGACTGTTTGTTGTTGTTGTTCCCCAAATTTAAAAGAAAATGTAAACATTAAAAACATGTTTTTACATGTTGTTTTTTAATTGTTAGTTTGTTGGTTGTGTAGAAATGGGGAGGGTTGATTTGCCAGTCACTGCTTTAAACCACTGTTTGCCAAAATGCCATTGTTATAAAAGACTTATTTATTTGAAAGTAGAATGTCAGAAATGGAGAGAGATATCTTTTTTCTGCTGATTCACTGCATTCATGGAAAAAACAAACAAACAAACAAGCAAACAAAAAAACCTGAGTGGGCCAAGCTCAAGCCAGGAGTCCCAAACTCCACCTGAGACTCCCACATCTGTGGCAGCGGCCCAGGGAGCTAGGCCATCATTCACTGCTTTCTCAGGGAGCTGGATACAAAGTGCAGTACTTACCACTGCAAGGAACTCAATCCAGTCTACCTGTATGAGTAACAGGGACCTAAAATGTTGACTCCTCACCACTGACTCCCAGGGCATGCCAGAAGCTGGAATTTCAAATAGAGCCAGGACTTGAACCAAGGTACTCCAATATGATAGGTGGGCTTCTCAAGCAGTATCTTCTCAAGCTTCTCAAGCTTCTCAAGCAACTGCACCTAACACCCTGCCTCCTGTGAGTATCAGGTTTTTGAGAATTTAAGGTTTGTGAAAAACGTTAGATATTCTGGGCCCGGCATGACAGAATATCGGGCTAATCCTCCGCCTGCTAGGGCTGCCATCTAATGGGTGCCAGTTCAAGTTCCACCTGCCCCATTCCGATCAAGATCTCTGCTTGTGGTCTAGGAAAGCTGTGGGACATGGCTCAAGTCCTTGGGTCTATGCACCCATGTGGGAAACCAGGAAGAGGCTCCTGGCTCTCAGCTTTGGATCAATTCAGCTCTGGCTGTTGCAGTCATTTGGGGAGTGAATCAGCAGATGGAAGATCTCTTTCTCCTATTTCTGCAAATCTGACTTTAAGATAAAAATAAATAAATATATATATTTTTAATGCTAGATCCCCACGGTACACCTGGGAGTAGGAGGAAGCCAATGAGGCAATAAAGATGCAGAACTACAAGCAGGTATCTGGCTCCTTCAAGACATAATTAGGGAGGAGGGAGAGGCAGATTTGGAACTATGTCCTTTTAACTGACTCATGCTTCTTTTCTCCTGCGGGAAACAGAAATGTGAATAGTTGCCGCAGTGTTCTACCAGGAGGAGATAAGAGTGCCTTTTGAAATCACGGTGACGGTCAGTCACACCTAAGGAGTAATTTGTACAGACATTATTGCTGTGGAAGGGACCGCGTGCTTCAAGCAAGAAGCAGCTTGAACATGGCCCACCTCCTCTCGCTCTGTGCAAGAGAACAAAAGCCAGACAAGTTGATGAAAGATGAGAGAGAATCCACACAGAGGGAGGAGGAGGAAGAGGAAGACGATTTGATCTTTGTCGGAGTGGAACACGTCAGCAAAGATGACGATATTGTCTTTGTCAAGGCATTTTCCAATTCCAAACCAGCCATTTCCAAGATTCTGAATAGAGACACTCCGGGATCATATTCAAGAAGACAGAAAGGCCTCCTCAGTCCAGATCCTACTCACTGCTCCCAGCTTGCAAGTTATGTCACCCCTGCTGAAAACAGAATGGCCATTGCACCAGCTCCTCGGCCTCGGTGGCGTTCAGCAGGTAGCTCCATGACTACTGAATCTCCATCTGAAACCAGCGATAACATGAGCTCAGCTGACATGGATGCTGGCAAGTACTCAGAATCACTTACCCCAAGGATACAGTCTGTGGTGGGAGCTATTCTCCCTATCGGGGGTCAAGGCCAGAGTCTGTGTGATTCAAAGAACATGTCCACTTGGGAGAGAAATGACAGGAATTCCAGAACATCTGAACTTGATGATGGAATCCCAAGGGCAGGCTGTCCAGCAGTGGCTCCTTCTGGCATTTCTTGGGTCACAGACAGAGATACACATTCAGAAGATGTCTGCCTCTCATCTCATGTTCAGAACAGGATGATGTTTTCTGGGGTTGACACTGATGAGAAGACACATTTCGGTCTGAGGCACTCAAAGGGAGTAAACGACCTTGCAGGACTGGCCAAACCAGACTGTGCGAGTGGAGCAAGTCAACATCAGGCCCCGGGTCCCATGAAAGAAACCCTGATCATGTTACTGAATGACTTCTACTACGGTCAGCATCAGGGAGATGGGCCGTCCGAGCAGAAAACTCATACCACCTTTAAATGCCTCAGCTGTGTGAAAGTTCTCAAGAACATTAAGTTTATGAATCATGTGAGGAACCACTTAGAACTTGAGAGGCAGAGGGGTGACAGCTGGGAGCACTACACCACCTGCCAGCACTGCCACCGGAAGTTTCCCATCCCCTTCCTGCTGCAGTGTCACATCGAAAGAGTGCACACTAGCCAGAAGCCGTCTGCCGTTTGCAAAATCTGTGAATTGTCCTTTAAAACGGATCAGATTCTCTTAGAACACATGAAGGACACCCATAAGCCGGGGGAGATGCCGTACGTGTGCCAGGTTTGCAGTTACCGATCGTCAGCCTTCGCGGATGTGGAAACTCATTTTAGAACGTGCCATGAGAACACCAAGAACTTGCTTTGTCCGTTTTGTCTCAAAATCTTCAAAAGGGCAGTACCGTACATGGCTCACTGTTGTAAGCACCAACGCAAGAAAGGCTTTCTGTGCTCCATGTGCCGGCTACAGTTTTTGAGTAGGAAGGAGGAGACAGAACACAAGTTCAAACACCACCAGACTTTCAAAAAACCAGAGGTCCTGAGCCACTTGTCTCCTGAAGCAGAGATTCGTATTCAGACCTCAATCCAACCACAATCAGAGGGTGTGGCATCCATTGTTGTGCGCAATGCTCCCTCTTTGGTGTCACCTGTGAAAACTACAAAGAGGATGCGTGTGAACTCTTAGTTATCCCAGACTCACTTGCGGCAAGAGTTCTGGTTAAAAAGTTCTCTTGAACCTACTGGAATTCTCAGCAGCAAAAGTAGGTGGGGCCAGGTCAGTTATACACAATGGCCTCAAACGCTGACAAGCGATGTCATCAAATGTCTGCTCTGACAGTGGCATCGCTCGTGTCATGTCCCTACTGTCAAGAAGTGACTCGAAGATCTTGTTCCTTTCTAGTTAAGCCCCTTCCCACCAAGAAACCACTGTTAGGGTTTCTACCACTGCAAATTTTTCTTGATTTTTAACTTTTAATAAATGGAGTCTCACAACAGATGCTTGTCTTTGATGTCAAGGTAGTGGGGTGCATTCCTGTTGTGTGGCTGTAACCCAATCTTTTTCATGGTGGGACAGAATTCTATTGTATAAGTAGAAAAAAGTTATACATTTCCATTTTAAAAAAAGATTTATTTGGGCCCGGCGCGGTGGCGCAAGTGGTTAAAGGTCCTCGCCTTGCACGCCCGGGATCCCATATGGGCGCCAGTTCTAATCCCGGCAGCCCCGCTTCCCTTCCAGCTCCCTGCCTGTGGCCCGGGAAAGCAGTGGAGGACGGCCCAAAGCTTTGGGAACCTGCACCCACGTGGGAGACCCGGAAGAGGCTCCTGGCTTCGGATCGGCATAGTATCGGCCCGTTGCGCTCACGTGGGGAGTGAATCATCGGACGGAAGATCTTCCTCTCTGTCTCTCCTCTCTGTATATCTGCCTTTCCAATGAAAAAATAATAAAAATAAATCTTAAAAAAAAAAAAACTCTCGAAGAACGCTTTAAAAAAAAAAAAAGATTTATTTATATATTGGAAAGTCAGATACACAGACAGGAGGAGAGACAGAGAGGAAGATCTTCCATCCGATGATTCACTCCCCAAGTGAACACAACGGCCGATGCTATGCCAGTCCGAAGCCAGGATCCAGGAACTTCTTCCAGGTATCCCAGGCGGGTGCAGGGTCCCAAAGCTTTGGGCCGTCCTCCACTGCTTTCCCAGGCCACAGGCAGGGAGCTGGATGGGAAGTGGAGCTGCCAGGATTAGAACTGGTGCCCATATGGGATCCCGGGGCGTTCAAGGCGAGGACTTTAGCCGCTAGGCCATGCCACCGGGCCCTGTACATTTCCATTTTACAACTGATGGAAGTTGAGGCTCATTGTTTCGCTAATTTTTAAAAAGATTTATTTATTGGTGGAAAGACAGATTTATAGGGAGAGAGAGATAGATCTTCCCTCTACTGGTTCACTCCCCCAAATGGCTGCAATGACAAGAGCAGAGTCTATCCAAAGCCAGGAGTCAGGAGCTTCTTCTGGGTCCACCATGTGGGCGCAAGGTTCCAAGGCTCTGCCATTTTCCAATGCCTCTCTAGGTCATAAGCAAAGAGCAGAATGGGAAGTGGATGTTTGTCAATTTTTTAAAAGATTTATTTATTTTGGACTCAGCACAGTGACCTAACATCTAAAGCTCTGCCTTGAACATGCCGGGATCCCATATAGGCGCTGGTTCTAATCCCAGCAGCTCCACTTTCCATCCAGCTCCCTCCTTGTGGCCTGGGAAAGCAGTGGAGGATGGCCCAAAGCCTTGGGATCCTGTACCTGTGTGGGAGACCCAGAAATTGTTCCTGGCTCCTGGCTTTGGATCGGCTCAGTTCTGGCCATTGCAGTCACTTGGGGAATGAATCATTGGACAGAAGATCTTCCTATTGCTATTACACTGGGCCCTATTTTTAAAAATTATGTATTTTATTTGAAAGAGGCTCATTGTTTGGCTCTTTTTAAAAAAATATCTATGTATTTGAAAGAGTTACCGAGAGAATGAGTGAGAGAGAGATATCTTTCAAATCTTAGGAATTTCATGATTCGCTCCCCATGTAGCTGAAATGGCCAGGGCTGAGCCAAGCTAAAACTAATATCCTGGGACTCTGTCTGGGTCTTTTAAATAGGTTCAAGAGGCCCAAGTACTTTGACCATCTTCCACCCTGTTTCCCAAGCCATTAGCAGGAAAAGAGGAAAATGTTGACATGAGTAATGTTGCCAACAATCATAACATTTTTGGGAAATGCTGAAGTACGTCTTGGGAAGTTTGAATCTCTATATACACATAGAGTTGACCCTCCACTTCTCTCTGCATTCAGCTGAGGATTAAAGAAACAGGAAGTTTGACGGGGGGGAAAAAAGTATGTTAACTGTGAACATGCACAGATCGTCTTTTTGTCATTACTTCCTAAATACAGTCTGGCAACTGTGTACATAGAATTTAGGCAGCCTGAAGTTTTAGAGATGATCTAAGCATACATAGAGATGTGCACAGATCATGTGCAAATATGCGCATTGTGCCGTTTTACATATAGGCCTTGAGAATCAGCAAATTTTGTCATTGTCTGGGAACCTGGTTACCAATCCCCCATGGATATCCGGGGACAAGTGTCTTTGCACAAAAGAAAAAAGGTAAAGATGTGGTCCAAGTCGATGCTGTCCAGAATTTTCTGTATACTAGAGATGGAATATGCTACATGTGACCACTAAGCCACTGGGATGTGGCTACTACCACAGAGACACTAAATTTGAAATTTCATTCATTTTTGAATAACAAAGAATTCCAAGTCATGTGTACTGATAATTCTCCCATCCAGGTCCCTGATAATGGCCTGGGAAAACAACAGAAGATGACTCAAATGTTTGGGCTCCTGACATCCAGGCAGGACCTCCAGGAGAATTCCTGGCTCCTGGCTATGTATGGTCTGGCTGGGCGGTAGCCATTGTGTCCAAATATGTAGGAGGTGACTCAGAGGATGGAAGATCAACTTTCTCTCTCTCTCTCTGCCTTTCAAATAAATACTTTTTTTTTTCTTTGTAAAGTTTGTGTGCTTTCCTGAGTATAGGCAGAATTTAGTGCCAAAATGGATGCCAGGCTGGACAGGCGCCTGACAACAACTTAGAGAATGGGGGTGAATTCTGGCTAAGTTGCCTGATCCAGTACACCGGTAACCAGCGAGTGCTTTTTTTCATGGAAAAGGGTCATTAATGAGGGTTATGACGGGGGGACACCTGGGGGCGTGGGGATAAACTACCCCCCTTCGGGATCAGAAGCCAACTTCCAGCTCTAAGCGCTGCCCGCCTCCCACTGCGCCATGTTCCACCATCCATGCGCCTGGGTGGGGAGGGCTCAGCGGGTCGGTCAGCCGCGGTCCCTCACAGCCAGACCAGGCGTAGCCGGAGCCGGCCAGGGTCGCAGGACCACGCGCATGCGCCCACCCCGGGGTCTTGCCCACCCCGGGGCCTCCTGACCAATCAGCTCGCAGAGTCCTGAGAGCCTGCCTCACCGACCTCCGCGCCGGTCACCTGAAAGCCAATCACCGGTCGGCCTGGGCGCGCGTGCGGCGGCGGCGCCCGAGGCCGGAGGAGTCGGCGTGACTGTGGGCTTGGCCCCGCCAGCGCCGCCGGGGCCTGTGCGGTCGCTCGTGGGCCGGAGGAGGAGTGGCGGCCGAGCCGGGCCTGGTAAGGCAGGAGGGGGCGTGGCGGGGTTCGGCGTGCTCCTGGGGCGCCCCGGGGAGGGGTTCCAGCGCCGCAGCCCCGAGGGTCTCTAAGCCGGGGTGAGCCGGGGTGGCTAGCTGGCGGTTCCCTAGCCCCCCGACGGTTCCCAACGTCGCCTCCCACGCTGCCCGTTGCCGTAACCTCCAAGCACGCGCCTCTTTTCCCGCAGTCTGCCCACGCAGTCCTGGCTGCCCGCCGGGCTTGCTGGGGAGCCCGGGGCCTCTCGGACCAGGGGCCTGTCATGGCTCCCAGCGCATTCCTCCTCGTCCCCCTCCCCCACCTCTCCCTTTCCTGTTTCTTCTCACTCTCTCTCTCTCTTTTTTTTTTTTTTCTCATCAAGCCCCTTAATAAGCTTAAAGACTTTTAAAAAAATCGAAAAGCTTTTGTAAGTCTAAAGCCAACTTTTTACATTTTATTTTTTATTATATATATATATATATATTTTTTTTTAAACTCCAGCCCACCCCCATCCTGGGGCCCTGCAGATCGCTGTATATACTAAGGCATTTAAAGTGTTTTCGTATGCCAACGTATGCCTTTGCCCTATGCATGGTGCTTAGTTTGCTGTGTGCTGTGTGTGGGCCTGGACGTTGGTCACAGTGCCTTTCACCCTCATGAAGCCCACCTTACTGCCCAGACTAAGGCTGCGTTTTTAGGCCCTTTAGGGATATTTCTCTCTCTCTCTCTTTTTCAGCTGAGATTGGGAGAAAGGAGTTAAGTAGTCTTTTCTGGTTTCACTGGGATGTGCTTGATTAAAACACCCCCAAGGCCATGTGAGGGAGGCAATAGGGTGTAACATTTCTGTTTGATAAGTAACCCTAAGTGTTTTCTCTGATTACTTCAAGGATGTGATCGCTTCTAGATCTTCTGGACTTCTCCCAAGTTTCAGAACCGTAGGTAAGAAGAGAGGAGGTTCTGCAATAAGGACCTAGGTTGTGGCGCGTGTCCTTCACTTTTCCTGCTTTTGTTCTGTCCTGGGTGCTAAAACGTGGCTAAAATGAGGGCGTTTGAGTGTATGTGGCAAGTTATGGCCAATGGAGGGCTGTCTTCCAGTTTGCTGCCTCACTCCCCAGGTGTCCGTAGAAGCTGTAGCTTGGTGGGGGTGGGATCCAGGAGCCTAGAACTCCATCCAGGTGTTTCGTATTGGATGGCAGAGGTCCCAGCACTTGGGCCGGCTTCTGATGCCTTCTCAGGGGGGGACCAACGGGGAGTTGGATGGCAAGTGGAGCAGCTCATACGGGATGCTGGTGCCTGTTCAGCGGGCTGTGCCACACTCTGGCTCCACACTTAAGAAAGTTCTGCAGGTCCCTAAAGTGCTTCCTTAAGAAGGAAGGAGCGGGGGTAGGGTGGGGGTGGCGGCAGCATTCATTCTTCTGATTTCTTGAGAGAAAAAAAGAACTAAGAGCAGGTTGATATTCGGTCAGACCGACTGCCTTTATCGTGTTACG